AGGGTTCGGATCCCACATACAGACCGGTTCCCACTCACTGGCTGAGCGAGGCGCGGGGGCAACACCGAGGGTTGCGATCCCGTTGCCGGTCCTGGTCCGGTACGGGGGCGACACTGAGGGTTGCAATCCGTTGCCGGACACGGAAAAAGACAAAAAAAAAAAAAAAGTTTGTGGAAAATTTGAATTAAAAGATACAAAATTAAAATTAGGAGGAATAAGTTCTGGTGTTCTGTTGCACAGTAGGGTGACTATGGTTAACAGTTACGTTTTGTATATTACATAATAGCTAGAGGAGAAGCTTTTGAATGTTTTCACCACAAAGAAATGATAAATGCATGAGGTGATGAATACATTAACTACCCTGACCCAATCATTATACAACATATACATGTATCAAAACTTCAGGTTGCACTTCATAAGTATGTGCAATTATAGTGTGTCAATTAAAATGCATTTTTTTAAAAAGATAATATGAATCCTTCCATGAACTTTTTGAAGACCCCTCATACAATAATCACTCTCACATGATGAACACTTACCAAGAGCCAGACCCTGTGCTAAGTACTCTCATAGGTATTCATTTATCATTTAATCATCACAGAAACCCCATGATGTACTATTATTATCTCTCTTTATAGTTGGGGAAACTCAGACCAAGAGGTTGAGTAACTGGCTCAGGTTCATTCCCAGCAAGGACTCAAACTCAGGTATCCAAGCTCAAAAGTTTACCCTGTTGTGTGCTGAACTGTGGTAACAGTACCCACCTCAGCAGGCGTTCGCCAAGATGAAATGACATCATGCCTGCAAAGCCCTTAAAACAGAGCCTGACACATAGGAAGCACCCAACAAACATTAGTCATGATGATGATGGTGGTGCACTCATTCATTCAAGATATTTATTGAGTGTGTACTGTGCGTCAGCCTCTGTTCTAAAAGCTGGGCGTACACCCCTAAACAACAAAGGCTTCTGCCCACATGGAGCTCCATCATTGTCATGACGACCCCCATCATAATAATCGCCACCATGATCTTTATCACCATCATTGCCATCATGTTATCACCATCATCACCATCTTCATCACTACCACCACCATCACCACCATCTTACCATCACCACCATCATCATCGCCACCATTATCATCATGACCATCACCATCACGGTCATTACTATCGTCACTATCATGATAATCACCATAATTACCACCATCATCACCACCACCTTCCACAGTATTTGATATTCACAAATCGAGATCAATCTGTGATTCTCTCTCTCCAGGGTTCTCCTAGTCCCCCAGAAACATCATTCACATCTTGTTTTAATTAGATACTTTGATTTTCTTTTTTTGGCTGGGAATGTCTTAAGTACCCCAAATCCTGGAGAGGGTCACACATCTCCCCTGAGAGGCCTCTCCTCCTCCTCTGGGGTGGTGGTGGTTGGCACAGGTGTGCTGAGGGGCCAGGCCACCTCTGCCAGTCTCTTTACAGCCTTGCCCAGCTGCCCCAGACCCCGAGTAGCCTCCACCAGCTGGGTCAACCCCAGTTTCAGGGCTTGGCGCTCCTGCTGATCCTGTTCTAGGACCTGGGTCAGCCTCTGCAACTGGCTACCCACGTCCCTCACAGCAGCCACCAGCTCCACCAGGGCAGGTGGCTCACAAGTCATGACCCTTATAGGTGGTGCTGGGGCCACACATGGGCCAAAGGAACCTGGGCTGTGACCAGGGGTTGGTGCTAGGGTGAGGTGGTCAGGGGGAGGTTGATCCAAGGGGTGGGCCATGGGGGAGAGGTGGAGGTCAGGGGTCACAGTAGGGTGGGAGGCTGAGTGTGGGGTCTGGGTAGGTGGAGGAGTAACTTTGGGGCTCTGGCTTCTGGGTGGTTTGAAGTCCTCAGTGGACAGCGGGTCCATGCTTGGGGCTGGAGAGGGCCTGGAGGGGTTGGACTCTGAGGCTGATGAGGGCTCTAGGGATGTGGAGGTGTGAGCAGCAGGTGCCATGAAGGTCAGTCTGGGCTTGACTGTCTGTGCTGGAGTGGGAGAGGGCAGTTCTATTCCCAAGGAGGTTGCAAAGGACTTAGTAGTGATGATGGGGGTTGAGGTGGGATCAGGAATCATGGTAAATTGAGTAGTGGTGGGTTGAGAAATTGTAGTTGGGTAAGGGGTGGTGGTGTGTTGAGGGGTGATGGTGTGTTGAGGGGTGGTGGTGTGTTGAGGGGTAGTGGTGTGTTGAGGGGTAGTGGTGTGTTGAGGGGTGGTAGTGTATTGAGGGGTAGTGTTGTGTTGAGGAGTTGTGGTGTGTTGAGGGGTAGTGGTGTATTGCGGGGTGATGGTAGGGTGAGGGG